AAGGATCATCAAGTCCAACTCCTGGCCCTGCACAGGAACAACTCCAAAAATCCCACCATGTGCCTGGAATCTTTGTCCAAATGCTGCTTGAACTCTGGCAGGCTTGGGGTCGTGACCACTTCCCTGAGGAGCCTGTTTCCCACCTCAGCTGTGCTGACAGCAGTTTCTAAAAAGCAAGGCAAAGGAGGTGTGTAGGACAGAGTGCAATTTCCTCAGGACATTTTAGGGAACCACCTCATCAACCCACTCACAGCACTGCCAATTTAACAGTGTGACTGTAGGGCTGTTGAATCTGTTGTGGTCTACACACAAAATGAGGCCCAACGCTCTTGGCTATTCATGGGCAGCTTGAAAATAGCCGGAAGATAAACTTCCCCCCCAAAAACAAGTTTTCAGAATGCCTCTGCTCCTATCTCAAGGTCACTGGGTTCACACACAGTGGTACTCCCCTTCTTCACTAAGGTCATACAGCTCTATCCTGCCACAAGGACAGCGGATGAGACACAGGAATCCTTCACTGCAGGACAAGAACACAGCCCACAGAGGAGAAAGAACTGGCAAACCCAACCTAAAATTTTCGTGTGGTGCTGCCTGAAATAGAAGTCTTCTTGCTCATGCCAAAAGTCAAACTTCACCACTACAAAGTTGATTTAAGCGTGTGGGTGTGAAAACTTCAGCACAGTCTGAGCAGAGAAAAGCTGAGGTGTCTATTTTCTCCATCCGGTTTCTGCTGGTCTTTCTCCTGCTGCAGTGCAGGTAACACCCTGTGTAACTCATCCACTGGCTTCACATCAGGGTGGAAAAACAAACAGAACAAAGCCTGGAAATGGAACAGACAATATCTATTCAGACTCATCAAAAATGAAGTGCATAAGCACACAGACAGATCTTTTAACAAAAAGCCAAAACAAACAGAAAGTTCAGAAATCAACAGGTGTGAGTCTCCCTCCCAGCCATTCTGACCATATCTTAGAAGTATCCAGAATCTATAACTCTTCCCTTTTGTAAAAGACATAGCTCTAACTTTTAGTAAAGTGTCAGATGCTGGGACAAGCCTAAGCAGTCAGTCATTCCAGCTCTTTGCAAATCTGTTTCCCCAGGCAGTCTGGTTTATCCACCCAGTCACTTCACAAAGTCCCTCTTCACTCTAAAGGTCACAGTCTTTGTCTGCTGGGCTATACTGTTTCTCCTCCAAAGTTAAACAGCTGGGTTTTTCAGTGGTCCTTGCTGACATGAAAGGACACATTCCACATAAACAGAGTGACAGCTAAAGGGAATTCAGGGTGACAGGAGGGATTAAAAAGATCCTGTGCCTCAATGGGGAACTAATACTGAGTCCAAACAGGTTAAAATAAGATAAGAAATTAAGGCAAGAATCTGATGCTGCCACTCACCTGAAGTCAGAACTTGCTTCACATATGAAGCACTGGCATCCTCAGAGAGGATATCTCACTCTATCTGCTGACCTCTGCTTTCCCCCACGTTGGCATGAGCCAGTCTCCAGGCCCTGGTTAGTCACACCCTGCACACATCCCAGGGATCAGCTCCTGGGTAGCTCAGGCACAAGTGCTGCGTGCCGGGACCGGCGCAAGCCTGGGCAGAGACACCGGACACTGCTCTGAGCTGAACCAGGGATGTCACACTGGGGGGTTCTACCTGTACCCCACGCACCAGCAGGGCTTGTCAGAAGCAGCTACTGCCAGCAGACTGCAGCTTTCTCCTCTGCTACCAGAATTTGGGGGATCTGGAAACGGAAAGAAGATGACACCAGTTCTCTGATGCTGGAAGGCACTACAGAGTCAAAGCGTCACCTTTCAGAAGAGTTACTGAACCAGAAAGACCATCTTCACTTACTGCAAACCAACCACTTCCAACACTCCTTTCCCACCCTCCCATTTCCTCAAAACCAGCATCCTGAGTTAATTTCTGCTTCCATCAATTATCAGTAGCAAAATTAGAACAAACTGAGTCATAGGCAGTGTTATAAACTGATTTCAGAATTCTACTTACAGCACACAGGGTACTGGTTTCCTCTCTGATAAAAAGGCTATAACAGTGTTGACAAGGAAGACAAATGACAGAGGCAACGATCCAAGACATCATCTCCTTTGTAAGGATTGCAGTTATATCTTTATGAGTTATAAAACAAGGCAATAAAATTCAAGACCATTAGAACAATGTCACACACATTACAGTAGGAAATACCTCCACTGAGCCAACAAATACTCATCCCACAGGTGAAAAGGAGCTCAGTTGTTGGGGGCTGGGGGATCAAGGGAAGTTTTAAGAGATGTTAAAAAAAAAGTCCTGGTCTTGATCAGGAGGATTTGCTCAGAAAAATCTGAGTCATTAGCTAAGTTTAGCCAGTCTCAGGAATGCTGGAGAACAGGTGGATCACAACATACAGGATTCGTGAGAGATTTGTGAAGGAGAAAAGGACAGCACATCCTTAATCCTCCCTAAAGCAAACAGCACCCGAAATGTTCCCTCGGAGGTTTGCGGGCCCTCTCTGCTGTTTGTACAAAACAACAGCACCCTCCAGAGGACAAACAGTGCTCGCTCTGCCTCTCCCACACCTCACCTTTTACGAACATGCAGTGTATGAGCTTTTTTCCAGCTGTGAGCGCTGTAGGCCTGTGTTTAGGTTAGCCTTGGGTAAAAAAACACGAGCCGTTTTAGAAGAGCAGTAACAAAGAGCTCCAAAAAGACCCCTGCTCTCTACTGCCAGGCAGCACTGTCTCTCTCCAAAGTGTCAGTGTTCCTTGCACCAGGGCTGCAATCTCTTTACAGTTACAGAGAAGGAAAAATCGACCCCATCACACCTCACCTTTTGGATTTTACCTCGGGGGGAACAACTGGTTGAACTCGCTGGTGGGGCAATGAGCCCTCATGACCCACACAGAGGAGGCTCCCAGCCCCCCCTGCCACGCTTGGCCCAGTCACACTGCCAGTTTTGGGGATGTGTTGAGACTGCTTGTGATTCCCCAGAACGATGTCAGTTGGCTCTTTCATCTCCTTCTACAGCAGCACCCCCAGCAACTTGGTTCAACACCTGAAAAATGTCTCAATCCCCACAGTAGCTTTGGCACCGGCCTCTGAGGGAAAACAAAATCAATTATCCGCTTTCTCTGAGACAAATTAACAGGAAACAAACTATGCAATATCTCATCTTAATTAGTGTATTGTTCCCGGAGCAATTTAGCAGTTGACAAATGCAAACAGTACACAAACCATTCCCAAAAGCTGAGCAGACCGTGACTCACTCATTACAGCACAAACCTCAGTGACTGCATTCCAAACCTACTTTGGGAATTAAGAAAGTATTTCAGACAGGAGAATTTCCCCTTTAGGGGGGAAAAAAAAAAAAGTGTCTCACAGCTATTCCAGAGGTGTTGGCTGGGATCCAGTAACTGGATACATTTGAACAGTAGCTCTATTCAAAGTTTAAAAAAAACCCAAACAAACCACAGGGACTTCCATGTTTTGCTCTGTTCCTGTCCCAGCACAAAAATCAGTTTCAAATCCACAGCACTAGCACTCCATCCCCATCTATCTTTAGGAATTCTTACCATCCAGTGCTCCTTCCATAACTCATCATCTGAGCTGCTTCACTTGACATTTAGAAAAGGCTCACAAGAAGGATGATATTCCTGGGCTTTAGTCATATTATGAAAAAAGAATAAAAAAAAAAAACAAATACCACTCAGTTGCCACAGCCAGAAGGTAGAAAACACCACTGTACATTTTCCAACACATCTGAGGTTATGTTGGTCAGAGAGCTACCAGAGAAATGCAGGTAAAAAAGGCTCCAGTAACAAGGGGGTTGTTTCTTATACAGTCCTTATATCAAAATGTGATTCACCAATAAAAATGGCAGTAAAGGTGAAGCTGCTTTCTTAAAACAGGAGCTGCTTGTGCCCCTCACTCACTACCCAAATTCCCTATAGTCACTGGATACCACAAGTTTCAGAACTACTTATTTCACCACCTAGAGAAAATTATATTCTCTAAAATGGGTTGTTATCTATATGATTTTTAAACTTTGTTCCCACCATTCTTAGGGGAATAAATCCTGACTATTATAAATTAATTCCCTGCCTGGAAACAGTGACTAAGAGACATGAGGGACTGGAGGGCTGAGGCAGGAATGAGTGAGATGCTTTTCAGTGTTATAACTCCAAAGGTGATCTGGAAACTCCTGCTTGTTCTCCTCTCGAGGGTATTAAGTGAGGACTTTTGCCTTTGATTCATTCTGAGAAATACTCCTGAGGAATTTATTAAAAAATATTTGACATAGTTTGCAAAAAATCCCAGAACTCCCCTGCACAGCATAGGAGGCAACATACGATGGAAAATAAAACTTGTAGGTGCAAAAAGCAGGTTTGTTGTGCGTCTGGGGACACACTCTTCCCCAACTATAACTATTCCCATTTCCTTCCATGGAAAGGACAGTGCAAACCCATCTCTTCACCACCAGATACACCCTAGAGGGTGAAGCACCTGCGATCACATCACAGAGATCAAGGTTAACCAATTCCAGAATCAACCTATGCAAAAAACCTCATTTAAATGATCTGTAAAGAAAGTTTCCAAACCTGAAATCCCTGTCAAAGCTACCTACAGAGCCAGAGGGGACTCCTTCCCCTACCTTCACCTCCCACACCTATTGAAGTTCCCTACTCAAATAATTCCAGATTTCTTATAAACCTGGATCTCTGTTTCATGCTCAAAGACTGCTTGAGCTTGAATGAGGAATGAGAAACATATCTAAGAACACTGAGGATGAAGAACATTCACTGATCTACTCAAGATTAAATCAAGACAACACAATCTATTCCTTGTCTGCAGGATCCTGAGTCACTAGATTACATTAGAGTGTGCTTAGGGGGATGTCAGGAACACAGGGAAATGAGAGCAACAGAACAAAAAACACCTTGTTAAATATCTAGGATGAATTGTGATTGCAAACCATCCCTGTACCAGTACTGGGATTTACAGTACATAGATTTAATAAAGAACAGCTTAAACCATCAGTGCACAGGCAGGTGGAGGTGGATGTTTGTCTTCCTGTCGAATTGTCTGTCCCTGGGATGAGTTTTCCCACCTTTTGTAAACATAACTCATGTCCAATTGTCTGTCCCTGGGATGAGTTTTCCCACCTTTTGTAAACATAACTCATGTCGTCAGATAACTACTGATAACCTCCAGGACAGAAGATGCTGGACTGAAATAAAGGATTTACCCAAATAAAGGAAGATTATTATCACCCGAATAAAACAAGCACTGCGCAAGACTATATCACCCAAATAAATATGCACTAGGTAGGTGTGGAATATATGTTAGATAGGTGTGGGGGGGTTATAAGGTGAATTTTACCGTATAAAGGAGGTAACTTTTTACCCTTTGACGTGTTTCCTTCGTGGAAACCTCCACCTCGCACCCTGTGAAGAATACAGAATAAACAATGTCGAATTATCAGTCCCCAGACTGATTTTTTTCACCTTTTGTAAACAAGACTGAAGTTGCCAGATAACTTCTGGTAACTTCTACAACAGAAGTTGCTGAATGAAGAAAAGAGCTTTGTGTTTCAGGTAAGATCACATCACCCAAGCAAATACGTATTAGGCGAGCGGGCTCGTGTGAACTTTACTGCATAAAAGAGGTGAGTTTTCACCCCTTGGGCTGCCTGATCTGTGGAGGCGCAATGAGCGGGATGAACAATGCGTCCTTTCCCAAACTAAGACGTGTGTCTGTGTTTAGCGAGCTCCTAAATTCGGGTGCCTCACGGAGCCCTCACAGAGCCCACACGAAGCCCCCCGGAGCCGCCGCCATCGCTGTGAGGGCGGGGGCGGCCCCGCCCCTGACATGGCGGGTTAGAGAGGGCGGGCGGGGACAACCCGGCCCTGCCGCACGGGGGCCCGGCGGGGACATGTGTGTGCTGTGGCGATCGTCCCTGCCTGCCGTGGCATCGGGGTGACACAGCCACGGGGACTCCTCCAGTGCCACCATCCCCTCGTGGAGAAAACCCCCTCAGGGCCGCCATCCCCTCTTAGAGAACCCCCCAGTGCTGCCATCCCCTTATGAGGACCCTCCAGTGCTGCCGTCCCCTCATGGGGATCCCCCAGTGCCGGCATCCTCTCGTGGGGACCCCCTCAGTGCCGCCGTCCCTTCATGGGGACTTCCCAGTACCCCCATCCCCTCGTGGAGACCCTCCCAGAGCTGCCATCCCCTCGTGGAGAACCCCCCAGTGCCGCCATCCCCTTATGAAGACCCTCCAGTGCTGCCGTCCCCTCATGGGGATCCCCCAGTGCCACCATCCCCTCGTGGGATCCCCCCATAACATTATTCCCTCATGGGAACCCCCCAGTGCCACCAACCCCTCATGGGGATCCCCAGTGCCACCATTCCCTTGTAGGGACTCCCCAGTGCCGCCAACCCCTCATGGGGACCCCCAGTGCCACCGTTCCCTCATGGGATTCCCCAGTGCCACCTTTCCCTTGTGCCACCAACCCTTCATGGAGACTCCCCAGGGCCACCATCCCCTCATGGAGACACCCCCAGTGCTGCCATCCCCTGATGGGATGCCCCAGTGCCACCATCCATTTATGGGGACCCCCCAGCGCCACCATCCCTTTATGGGGACTCCCCAGTGCACCCATGCCCTCCTGGGACCCCCCAGTAACTCTGTTCCCTCATGGGGACTCCCCAGTGCTGCTGTCTCTTCATGGGACCCCCAGTTCTGCCATCCCCTCTGAGGACCCCTTAGTGCCACTGTTGCCTTATGGAGACCCCTGAGTGCCTCCATCCCCTTGTGGAGACCCCCCAGTGCCACCATCCTCTCATGGAGGGAGAGTGGAACTGGACAGTCTCTAAGGTCCCTCCAACCCAAACCATCTGTAATTTTATGACTCTAACTGCTGAAAGGACAATACCCACAAAGGGAAGATTCTGCTGCAGCAGCTGGTGAAATTTCCTGTATAAAGGGGAGACCCGGCCAGAGCAACTGGTGACATTTCCTGTATAAATATTGATGAGCCCAGCGGGTGAAGGAGCTCAGAAGCTGCTCAACCAAGTACCCCGGGATGTACCCCATGGCTGCAGGTCCCTCCGGGCAGCACCTCCCGACCTCCCTCACAGACTCACACAGATGTGTCCAGCAGGCTCCTCTTTATTACAGCCTTGCCAATGCACACAGAGAAAATGTACCATACAAAACTCATGGGCTTCACATCTAGAAACCTTTTTGTTTCATGTCTTATGCAGAAGCTTTTTTATTTCTCTTAATGTCTTTCTTGAATTCAAGCTAGTAAATAACAGAGCTTCACCACTGTCCTGTCATCAACAGCATCTAAACATTTTGGTGACACTGCTCAGAACTGGTATGGGCAGGACAGGCTGAATTCCAGCCTTGAATTCTGCCTTAAGCAGCGTTATCACTGCTGGCATAATGTGAAGCTGAGGAATTTGAGGAATTTTTTTTTTTTAATCCCCAGAAATGTTCCTATTCAGAGAAGACACAAACATAACATAAGAAATACAAAAATATTTTGGAAATAAACTGTAAAGTCTACAAGACAAAGACTGAAAATCAACTAAACCTTAACTCTCCTTTGGTTGCTTTTGCAAAGAGCTTTGGAAAGGATCCTACTTTCAGTTTTGAACTAGGGAAAAGTCCCATATAAAAATGTTCTACATTTCTCCCTTTCCACAGCTTGACAAAGGAAATCATGTCCTAGGGACACAGCAAGCCAGCATGATGTTTCATATCATGGGACTCCTTTTCCCACTTAATTCATTCATGTTGGATAAGAAGAGGTAATTTTCAGACATTAAATTTAGATTAAGTCATGACTGGTAGGAAAACCACTTGATCTCATTATAAATATGCCTTGACCTAAGTGAAACAATTAGAGGATAAAATAAGTCTTAAAAGTCTAATAGTCTGTTTTTATAGAATATACTGTAGTGGGAGATAGCGAACAGATAATGAGATATTAGGTTTCTCAGACTCAAAAAAGGATTACACAAAATAAAGCAAACCTAATCTTTTAAGAGATCATTCCCTAAAACTGGGTCAAAAAATGTTGCCTTCCTTTGTCAGCAGTTATTAAACTGAGAAAATCCTTCCTGATAAGAAAGTATTTAACAGGATTTCATAGGAGAGATAAGTACACCAGAAGACATTTAGCTATAATTAGGAATGCTCATTGATTTACTCTATTCAAACCACCAAGTGTTGGTCAAGACTTGAAAATACTTGATAAATTCACAGAGATTTCCTAAGTATGTAGTTTCCCCACACACAATTTTATGTTAGAAGAGCAGGATTTGAGGTGGACACAATCATCCTTTATTAAAGTCAGCCACCTCTCTGTGCTCCTTTTACCAGTGCCAGGAGGAGAAGAGGTGTTTTTGTTTCCAGGTTGAAGTTTGCTGCTGCTTCCTCGGGCGTGAAGATGAGCTCAAGGAGGTCAGATGGAACCGGCTTGGATTTGTTTCAAAAAGCCAGCGTGAAGGAGGATGAAGAGTTCCTTCCCAGGAGATGAGAACGGCAACACACCCCTATCAGAGCACTAATGCCTTGCCTTTGGCTATTTGCTTTCTAACTGGAGGATTGGAAGCCTCTCTGCCAAGAGAGCTTGTGCAGTTTCCATCTTTGGAGGTTTTCAAGACCCAACAGGATAAACCCCCGAGTAACCCGCCTTGGTCTCATAACTGATGTTGCTTTGAGCAGGAGGCTGGACTACAGACCTCCTTAGAACCCTTCCAACCTCAGTTATTCTGTGGTTCGACTATTTTCATCCATTTTACATCTAACATCTTTGGCTTTCTTCAGATATCAAACTGATAAAGACTAGGCTTGAAAGTTCATTTGCATAAAGCATGGTCATAAAAAAAAGTTGTTTAACTGCTTTATATGGCTGCTTTAAAGAGTTTAACTGCTTTATATGACTGAGACGTGACCCAGCCAGAAAAAGATAAAAAAATCTCTGTACGAGATGAAAATAATGTGAGAGCTCTTAAAAAAAAACCAAAAACAGAGAGATAAAAAGGGTGAGGAATTACAAGTCCTTTGAAATACATATCACCAGCCTGTATGTGTTTGCAAAACAAACTGGAACTGCAAAATAACTAATGAGACACGCTTAAAGCACTACAGCCTCCAGTGTCCTGCATAATAAGGGCCAAAATAGCTTTTGGGCACATCCTCCCCTGGCTGCAAGGTTATATATCGTACAGTCTAAGCTGCTCCTTCATGTCTCCTTCAGACATCTCTCCAAACGTGTCACTTTTTTCCTTCATCAGTGTGAAGATGGCAGCCAGCTGCTCTCTCTGAACCCTGTCAAGAAGAAAAGGAGAAGTAGGAATAGCCGGTCCCCAGAAGGCACTTGGAGCAAGAACACCATGGTCAAATGAAACACGGAGCCAAACACGGGTCACTGTACAAGCCTTGCTGGCTGCAGGAAATCTGCCCATGTGAGATAAGACAGAGAGAGCCTCTGGTTCTCCTTCCTCCCCTTTCCCATCTGCCCCATCATCCTACACATCTCTCTGCACTTCTTTCAATATGGAGATAAACCAGACTGCTTTAACACTAGCTTTGGAGTTCCTGAAGGCTTATCTATGCTCACAGTTTCAAGATAACTTGAAACTCTGTTTCTCAAGATAACTTGACATGTGGAATTTCATAAGACCAGCATGTCCCAATTTAGCAGACTCCACAATGAACCTGGATTCAACAGCAGTGTCCTTTTATTCTGTAATGAGAGTATGTAGATACAGAGTAATTCAGGAATAGCTATTAAATTCAAAATGCATATCCCACCTTAAAACTAGAGACCAGACTACCTCTCAGTGTGGACATGACTTTAATCAGCCAGTGGAAAATAAGATCACAGATAGGAATTTGCTTTGATTCGAGTTTGTCTGCCAGTGGGAAATGGTGAGATGGACCCAGGTAGCCAGTCCAGCAATGGGGTGACCCCAGTGTGGGCAGAGGCCGACCAGCGGACCACCCAGATTTCCTTAGTAGATGATCAACACCCATTTCCCCATAGCAGAGAATATCTTGATTTTTCCCTACCCTGAAGCAGTTAAGCATTTTACACAAAGATTGATATCTGTGACAGGGCTTTATTTGTGGAAGCTTTATAAGGAGGGCTTATACTGGTCATACACCTACTTGTCATCCTTCAGGGATATAGGAGAGTGGGCAGCACAGGAGTGTCATTTGCTCACAAGTAGCTCATGAACTGATGTAACTGTCTACAAAATCCTCTTTTGGGTTAAAATGATTGTGCACATGGCTCCAGGCAGGGCTGGCTGTGGACTGGTACGTTCCCACTGCTGACTGAGGTCACATTGCTGTATTGCCCCATACATCTTGTACCTGACTCTCCTGTGTCAGATTAAAAGAACTAATGAGGTTGTGGTGCTTTACAGCTGTAACAAGGGAGAAGCTTTCTATTACATTTTATTACTTCAAGGCTCATTTTGCCTCTGCACGAGTGTGGGGCCAGAATTCAGTGACAGCTTAGAGCACAGATCTGCCACAATCCCAGCTCCTCCTGCTTGTTTAGCATCTTTAGACCTCCCGTGGGCTAGAAAGACAAAATCTGGCATTTGCTTCCACGTAGTCATCCTTTCAAGAGTCCTCCTTCCTACCACAGCCAGCTTGCCACATCGGACTTTAAACCATTTAATTAATCCCTTTAAATACACGCCACTAGATAACCTGGGGTAGTCTTCCTGCAAGGCCAGTGTGGACAAGCTATCAACTGTTCCAGTAACAGGAGGGGTAGTAATAACTATTGACAGGCAAACCCAGGATACAGTCTTTGCTTGGAAGGAAGGACAGCATCAACCCACGAGCAGCAACCACCTCATGAACAAGATCAGTGGAAGGAGACAGGAGTGAGCAGAGGAACCTTTTTCATGTGCTGAACTCCTGCTCTGTGTTTTTCCCTCTCCTGGGCTAAACCCCAGCAGAAGCAGAAACAACAGCCTGTCTTCTCAGCCCTGCTGAAGCAAACAGGGCAGGAAAAAAGCAGATCCTGGCTAAATTAAGCT